TACATATCCCATATCCTAAACTTAATGGTCCAAGATGGTTTGAGGTTTGCAGATGAGCTAGTGAAAAGGGTTAGGGATGCAGTGAGATGGGTTAGGAACTCACCTGCTAGGCTGAAAAAGTTTAGAGAGCTTGCTGATCTCATTGTGGTGGAAGCTAATCAGCTTTACAACTTGATGTCCATACAAGGTGGAACAACACCTTCATTATGCTTAACACTGCAATTCAATATCAAAGAGTGCTTAAAGCATATGAGCAAAATGAACCCTCTTTTTTCTGCTGACTTGGGTGTTGTTCCTTCTTTTCTGGATTGGTGTTCTGTGGAAAGCTTAGTGAAGCTTCTGAAAACTTTTTATGAGATGATAGTGAGAATACCTGGTTCTCGTTATGTCACATCTGACACATTCTTCTCTGATATCTCTGATCTGAGTTGTGTGCTGGAAGATATGGTTACAGCTGAGGCTGGGACTGAAAAGGTAAACACTTTTTAATTTGATTTGCTTTGTGTTGTTTTTATTTTCTTGATTCTGTTTTAACTTTTTTTTTATATGTTGTCTGTATTTAAAAGGCAATGGGGACACAAATGCAAAACAAGTTTGATAAATATTGGGGGATCCAGAAAAAATGAACTTTGTCATTTTTTGCCAATATTCTAGACCCCAGAGATAAGGTGGAGTACATGTCATATCAGTTTGTCCAGCTATATGAAGAAGTGAAAGGCAAAGCTTGTTTTGCCAAGGTCCAAATTGCAATGGTTGAGTTGTATAATGACCAAGGTTGCCAAAATCGCGCCTAGGCGCTAGGAGGCGCCCGACCGCGTCGAGGAATGCCGGAATCGGCCTCCTCCGTTGTCGGCTGCCTCGGCGGTCTAGGCGGCCGAACTCCAATTTTTTTAAGGTTATTCATCAAAACGACGTCGTTTTGGCGAATAACCTTTTAAAAAAATCGAGCGCCCCCTGGGCGCCTAGCATCTTTTTCAACACTGATAATGACTATGCAACTACATACTTTGTCAGTTCTACCCAGCATGGACGGAGCTAGCCTGGGGGCAGTGGGGGCAGCTGCCCCCACAACCCCCACCCCACCCCTTTATATATATGTATGTGTATAGTATTAAATGTTATATAACATTTATATTTATATTTAAAATATTGATTGTTTGAGTAGTTTAGTTGGTTGAATTCCAAATTTGATTTTAATAAAAAGTATATGGTCATGGGTTCAAAACTTATTAACAACACGTGTTTATTTTATCTCTAGAATAAATTGCACTTTTGGTCCTGTGAGTATTAGGGTATTGACAATTTGAGTACGTGACTTTCAAAACTCCCAATTTAAACCTTTAACTATGCAATTTTTGGCAGATTTGGTCCTCCGGGCCAAATTGCCGGCCAATTTTGGCCGGAAAAAGATTTAATGCTTCGAATTAATTTCTGATGAGGGTAAAATTGTCATTTCACTCCCTTCTTCTTCATTCTCCCTTTCTTCTTCGTTCTTCTTCTTCTTCGCTCACCGGTTCTATCCCTTTCCATTTTGGGACTAATATTATTTGAGTTTCAATTCAGAAAACGCAAACGTCAGATCAGAGTACAAAACATAAATGATAATCACTAAAAAGTCAAAAGAAGAACAAGAATTATATTATGACGTCAAGCTAAGGTTCCAAATGAACCTGCAGTTTGAACTGAATTTTTTTATCCTCATCCATTCCCGAAAGAGAAAAACGACTTCTTGTTAATTCTGCTACTGCTACTCTCGCGCGGAACTTATGATCTCATCCTGCCGGCGTTTCTGCTGCTGAACTTCCTTCTGAACCGCCAAATAAACCCGCCGGTCCCCCGCCGAGTCCATCGAGAAAGATCTCCTGATCGGTTGAACCGCAAACTGCTCATCCTTTTGCCTAATGTCAATGCACTCATCCCCAACGCTGGTAACTCGCCTGAATTTTCTCCGATTTTTTCTCGCAAATTTCGGTGTCGGAGACGAGATGATCGACAGATCCTCATCAAGTTCAATAACAACGCCGCCGTCTTCATTACTCCCGGCCACCGTGAAATCGCCAGTAGAACCGCCGGGGTTCGAAAAAATCGCCGACGAGGAAATGCAGTTTCTGCAGATTGGACAATTGGCGTTGTTACGAAGCCAAACATCAATGCATTCAATGTGGAAGCCAAACATTCAATGCATTCAAAATGGAAAGGGATAGAACCGGTGAGCGAAGAAGAAGAAGAACGAAGAAGAAAGGGAGAATGAAGAAGAAGGGAGTGAAATGACAAATTTACCCTCATCAGAAATTAATTCGAAGCATTAAATCTTTTTCCGACCAAAATTGGCCGGCAATTTGGCCCGGAGGACCAAATCTGTCAAAAATTGCATAGTTAAAGGTTTAAATTGGGAGTTTTGAAAGTCACGTACTCAAATTGTCAGTACCCTAATACTCACAGGACCAAAAGTGCAATTTGTTCTTATCTCTAATTAATGTAGTACACAAGTTTATATTATACTTCATATAAATTTATTCGAATTAATTTACTAGTTGATCTACTTCATTAGTCTACTTCATTGTATTCAAATTAATTTAGAAAAACTTAAAGTTGATCTAACTAAAAAAAAAAAGTAAAATTTAGAAGTATTTATGAATATAGTGTTATTCAAAAATTTTTATTTAATGGATTATGTATCATATTTTGTCATAAATATTTTCACATTTTCAGCCCACACATGTATATTTTTGACTCCGACTCTAACTATTGTGTAATCTATAAAAAATATTCTATTGTAATTTATAAAGTATTTTGTATTTTAATCTTATTATGCCAGTTTGATATTTTGTAATTGACATTTCTATTGCCATTTAAACTTCGCCCCTACTCAATTAATTTTCTGGCTCCGTCCCTGCTACCCAGTCAGAATCCTCTACTCAATCTGTCCTGACTGTCCAGTCTGAGGCTACAAATCCTACAATTGGTAGGCCTCAATTAAGGTTGAAGAGTCAATTGAAAAAACATAGAATGGAGAGTGGTGTTGGAAGCAGTAAGCAGACTGAGCTGCAAGTTTACTTGAGTGAAAAGATTGTGGAGGATGATAAATCTGCTTGTTTTGATGTTTTAAGGTGGTGGAAGGTCAATAGTGAGAGATTTCATATTATCTCCAAAATGGCTAGAGATGTGTTTGTAGTTCCTAACTTCCTATATCAACAATTGCCTATGGAAGTGCATTTAATACAAGTGGAAGGGTGCTTGATGCATTTAGAAGTTCTTTAACTCCTAGAATAGTGGAAGTCATACTTTGTGCACAAGATTGGTTGAGATTACCAAATCAGCCAATCTCGATTAAGGAGAACTTAGATGAAGTTGAAAGATTAGAGAAGGGTAATTATTTATTTCCTTATTCTTATTCTTATTCTTTATTCTTCTTTTTTTTTTTCACTTGGTTTCTTAATTCTTTATTTCCTTATTCTTATTTCCGTATTCTTATTCTTATTCTATTTTGCAGAGTTGCCCACTGGAGCTGCATCTACTCTACCATTAATGTTTCCATCAATTCCTGTAATGTATTTGTTATTTGTTTAACATTCCCATTTGTTTATGTTAATCGGTTATGGTGTTATTTGTTGTTGGCCTGTTGTACTCCACAAGTTGTCTACTATTAAACCTCTAAGTCACTTGGCAACTTTCTATTATGAAAATGTTGTTGCCCTTAGATGAGTTGAGCCAACTGATGTCCCATTTCTGAAATTCTGGTAAGAAAAAAGCTGACTGCTGTCATTCTAGATTTCTGGTATACCTCTGACTTGCCGTTTTAATGCATTATTTTGTTTAGTAAGTTATTAATGTGTGTTTTCTTGGCTGGCTATGATGATGCTTCCACCTTTGTCTGAATAAATAGAATGGAGTTAGTATGTTGCTAATGTGCTACTATAACACATTTTGAGCAATTTGCCCCCAATCCTTACTTGATATGGAAAAAAATGCGTTCTGAGCCTATTAGCCTAATGCTACAGCTTAATATTGTTACTTAGTTAACTGTTTACTTAGTTATACACTTGCCTAATATTTTTTAAGTTTTGATATTAACAAGAAGAAGAGTAGTGTTAAGTGTAGAATTGTTGATTGCTGGCTTGCTGTTGAGCGCTGACTGTTGAAAGACCTGAAGTTTAACTTAGAATTTTGTTGAAGTTAAACCTAGATTTTTGTTTATAAGTTGTAACTTGTAAATTTGTATAATTGTATTTGCTATGATTGTAATTTGTAACTTGTATGTTTTATTTTGTTTACTTATTTACTTATTTTGGCTAGAACAGGTTGAATAGCTCTATACTAGAGTATTTGTAATTTGTAAAGTAAAATGGTATTTTATTTCAGTTTTTATTAATTTTTTTTAAAAAAATTATTTTAAAATTACTTTAATATATCTGAATACAAACCGAAATCTGAATTTGGATAACCGTAATCCGAAGTTGAATATCCAATAGGGTATAGCATAAAAAAAATGAAAGAGTGGATGACCAAAATTTAATCCGAAAACTGATCGGATTGGCGGATGGGAAATCCAATATATCCGTATTCAACCGATGCACAGGCCTACATTTAGTATATAAATTGTGCATTTTTAAACTCGGAAATTTGCCGTTGAGAGAGCTCTATGTGTGATATGAAATGCTACTAATGATATTACTCAAGCATACCCTAATAGGCTCGGGCTTTCGGATTTGGACAGCTCCTATATATTAGGTATTTAACTGTTTGAACTTATTGGGCTACTTGAGTCCATATATTTCATGACGATCATATGTATTTTTTAAGTAATAAGGGAACCTTGCAATGACTATCTGATATTGTGATGATGCTTATGGAGTAAATCTCGTCTATAATTGATCTATTTTATTTAAAAAAAAAAGAGAGAGTAATAATATGTCCCCACTAGAAATTGAACTTGTAATCATATAATTATCAAGTTAATCATTTGAGTTTTGGACCAAGAATCTTAATTTGTTTAACAATTTTAAGAAACCAATAGAACTTTATTCAGCATGCTTTCTAGGATCCAAGAATGAAACACTGTACTATCAGAATGAAACCTTCTTGATCAATATATATATATATACACACACACCAAAAGTTCGTTCTAGGACTTGGCAGCGCGAACAAATCGTGACGGACTAAATGCGCTGAGATCAACGATGCTAGATCGACCATCCATCACAAGTTCCGCCATGGAAGCACCAGTGGCAGGGCCATTTAGGATACCCCAACAGCTATGGCCAGTCGCAACGTAACATCCCTTCATGCCGGGAACTTCGCCGATAACCGGCACGCTATCATCGGTGCAAGGCAGGAAGCAGGATTGCTCCGCCTTCACCGCCGCTTCCCCTTCCACCAAATGGCTTGACACATTTCCGGCTACTCTCTTAAGCACCGCAATTGATTCCGGGACCGGAGCTATCTGCTCTGGATCGTCGGGGACCTCTGCCTTTGCTGACATTCCGCATACATATACCTCCCCTGTCAAATTTACCATCTTCTATAGCTTGGAAAAACTTATTCAACTTAGCTAAGTCAATCAAGTTGAGAGGTCTATAGATCTTCTTGATTTTAGTCAATTAATTATATCAAGTTAAGGCAGGTCCTAAACAACGTATAAATTGTGTATTTTAATATTGAAATTGTAAAACTTACCAATATAAATTGTGTTTTTAAGTTAAAACATAAAAAATTTGTGAATATAATACAGGGTCATCAAATCATAATCTCTTAATATTGTGTATGAATACAACACAAGGTAATCAATTACATATATATTAATAACGGGTTTTCGTACTATACAAATTGTAAATTATTATTTAATTTAGTATATAAATTGTAAATATTTGAATCCAAATTCATGTAGTAAGGTGAACCCCGATCCCCCTTCGGATAGTAACAACAAATTTTTAACATGATTAAAAAAAACACACATTGGGTTCAACCACGTATGTCATAGGAATCATTTTGAACACAACTTTGGTTCATAGTAACATACATACCTGTGGGACGAGGATACACTTCTGGATCCATTGGGCCGCCACCTTGGGCCGGGTAGTAACTAAGAAACAATGCATGGAGTGTTATTGAATCAGGAGCTTTGGGCTCCAAGACAATGCTATGGGCCTTAAGCCCATATACCCTGAAAATGGAATTCAAAAGGCTCAATTTGCTAGTCCATGGCCCAAGAGCCAAGACAACAGCGTCGGTTTCTATCTGTCTCCCTCCTTCCAGCACCACCGCCGTGGCTCTCCCCTCCGCCGCCTCAATTCTCTCTAATTTACCGATCACCACCTCAACGCCGTGCTGTTCCACCGCTTTAGACAACAAAGCTTTGGTGAATAGCTGAGGGTGGACTTGGGCCGTCGTACCAACAGTCCCAATGGTTCTTGGGCCCTTAGCTGGGCCGTCGACCCAAGACGGAAGCGCTGGGCTACGGCTTCTCGAGGGATTCGACGACTGTGATTCCTTGATGCTGAAACTGAGGGTTGTCAGCGGACGGTAGCCGTACGATTGGGGACCATCGAGTTGTTCCGCGAGCGAACGGTGGAGATCGAAGCTAGCTCTGGCGAGAGCGGAGAGGGGGCCGCCGTCGCACCAATCTAGGGCTAGAAACCCTCCCGCCTTGCCGGAAGCTGCGCAGGCGATGGAGGACTTCTCCACCAAGGTCACCGCGGCACCCTTTTTGGACAAAAAATAAGCGGTGCACACTCCGATCACTCCCCCGCCGCAAACCACCACTTTTTTCGGTTGTGCAGCCTCCATTGACGCCGAGGATCGTATGAAGACAATAGATGACGGTTTTGGACGTCGATATCGTCGGGGCAGTGAAAATACTGCAATGGGTGGGGATGATGTCAGCAACATCTATTGCCTATCACTTTAGCTATGTCTAGTCTAGGCTAGGCTAGGCAAGGCTAGAGACGACACGTGGGGTTACTCACTACTAGCCATTAAACCCGAGTTCAAGAAAACTCTTGTGGTCCACAGTCTGTGTATTTGGGCTCAGATCAGCCCAAAGTTCAACATAATATGGGATAATACCGCAAATTATGAATGCAACATGCGCATGGTGCATATGATGCAAAACGACGTTGTTTTGGTTAAAAATGCGCATCTCATTTTAAAAAGAAATCAGGTTCGATTTCTGGTAATAATATTTTTATATATCCATAAATTCATAACTATATATCTACAGTGAATAGGGGTGTACAAACCCGATCAAACCGTCGGGTCAACCCGACCCATTCGGGTAAAATAACCCTTTCGAACCGAACCGGCGCCCGACCTCATAAAACCGAACCAGCCCAGCCATTTGAACGGATAAATGAAGTCGGTTTGGGTCTAGTGAATGCTCACCCGACCCGTCCGACAACCCGATGAAGCCTAGGGTTAGAATGGATGTATATTAAACGGCGTCGTGTCCCTAGTTTATATATATGATCCTTTGTACGCTGCGCAGCCTTGAGCCTTCACTCTCTCATAGACCTAATCTCATTCTCTGATTTCTCTCTCGACTCTCAACTCTCAACCTAGGGTTTCTCAATTCTCCCGTTCTCTCAACTCTCAAGTCTCAATCTTTGAGAGTTGAGACTGAGAATCTCCGATTCTCCGGTGGAAGCCTTTTCTCTGAGTTCTCTCAAGTCTCAAGTCTCAATCTCTGAGATTTCTGATAGTCCGGTAGAAGTCGTTTCTCTGATTCTGTCTTCGATATTCTCTGGGGTCTCACCGTCTCAGGCTCTCAGCTGTTCTGGTGTTCTCTTTGACTCTTTGTGAGACTGTGGTGGAAGCTTTGTGGTGGAGGCTTTGTTCGGTTGTTGACTGACTCACTTGTGGACAGCTGGAGGTCTGGACGTTGCTTGAAGGCCCTTGTTCTCCGGGTAATTTGTGTGAGAAAAGAAGTAAATCTCCAACCCTATTTATGATTTGTGATTCTTGTGAACTTGTGAGTTGTGATAATGTGATATATTATGAATATATGAAACTGTTATGATTTGTGACTCTGTTGTCTTTCTTATTTATGGATTGAGGACCCTTAAATATTATGATATATATTGCCTCTGAAATGTGGAAGCTATATATAGTGCCTAAGTGCCTAACTGCCTATGTGTTGTGACTATTGTCCATACTCCATAGTCCATATGATGAGCATTCAGAGATGAGAGTATAGTGGTTGTCTTTGATAGTTTGAATGTTTGATGAAATGTGGAAGCTATATATACTGCCTAACTGCCTATGTGTTGTGACTGTTGTCCATACTCCATATGATGATTAGCATTTAGCATTCAGAGATGAGAGTCCTTTTGTTGTCTTTGTCTCTTTGATAGTTTGAATGTTTGATATATCCCTGATGGAAATATGGAGTTGGAAATATGTAACAGTTAAGTGTTAAATGTTAATATGTTATGTGTATTATGATTTCCAATCTCCTAGTATGTGTACTGATTATGTTCCACACTTTATAGATGGACAATATCAGTATACCTAGTTCTGGTTGTGAACCTCCCAATTCTTCTGCTGAAGGAGCAACAGCAGTGGAAGCCCAAACTGTTGACACAACTACTCAACAGACTGTGCTCCCTACTGCTGCAGTTCCTGCAAAGAAAAGGAAAGTGGTTGAATCCAGATCAAGAGTTTGGGATCATTTTCAAAAGATTACTGATAGTAATAATGTTACTATAGAAGCAAAGTGTATCTACTGTGCAAAATTGTATCAATGTCAATCAAAAAAACATGGTACCACATCTTTAAGGAACCACATGGTTAGCTGTATGAAAAACCCTCACTCTAAAGATACTAGGCAGTCCCTTCTGACATTTCAAGCTGTTGCTACTAGTGATGCATCTGAACCAACTGTGGGAGATTTGGGGACTTGGGTATTTAATCAGGAAACCATTAAGAGAGCCTTGGTAGAAATGATTATCATAGATGAACTTCCCTTTATATTTGTTGAGGGGCAAGAGTTTAGGAGGTTCATTGCAGTGGCTTGTCCTAGGTTTAAAATTCCATCTAGGTGGACAATCAGTAGGGATATCAATGTCATTTATGAAGAAGAAAAATTGAACTTGAAGTGCTTGTTTAAGGGAAACACTCAAAGAGTCAGTATTACAACTGACTCTTGGATATCTATTCAGAGGATAAACTACATGGTTGTAACTGCACATTTTATAGATGAGGAGTGGAAGCTACATAAAAAAATTATCTTTTGTCCCTGTTACATCACATAAGGGTGAGTATATTGCAAAAGCACTTGAAAGTTGTTTGATAGAGTGGGGGCTTAGGAATGTGTTTACTGTGACAGTAGATAATGCTTCATCAAATGATGTTGCACTTGGTTTTTTAAAAAGGAAAGTGTTGTCTTGGGGATCATCTAGTGTGAAGAGTAAGTATCTTCACATGAGATGCATTGCTCATATTCTGAACTTGGTGGTACAAGATGGTCTAAAACAATGTGATATTGCTATTAAGAGGGTTAGGGAGGTTGTTAGATATGTCAGAAGTTCTCCTTCAAGGTTGAAGAAGTTTAGGGATTTGGTAGAGTATAGTGGAATTGAGCAAAAAACATCATTGTGTCTTGATGTGCCAACAAGGTGGAATTCCACCTATTTGATGTTACAGTCTGCTTTGATCTACCAGAAAGTATTTGATGACTATGAATACAGTGATAACTCTTCCAAATCTGATCTGTGTGATTCTATTCCTACTTCTCTGGATTGGGAGTATGTGAACAACTTGGTTAAGCTATTGAAATGTTTCTATGAGATGACTATCAGAATTTCAGGGTCCCTATATGTGACAGCTAATACATTTTTCTCTGAAATATCTGATCTGTATTGTATCTTGAATGAAATGGTGGAAGCTGATGGGGCTGTGAAACTAATGGGGGCTAACATGAAAGCAAAATTTGAAAAATATTGGGGTGATATTGATAAAATGAATTATATGATTTTCTTTGCAAACATTTTAGACCCCAGGGACAAGTTAGAATATATGCCAACTCAATTAGTTCATATGTATGGTGACAAAAAAGGAAAAGATTACCTTGAGAAATTGTTGGCTGCTTTGAATGAATTGTATGACGATTATGCTGTGAGTTATAACCCATCTGTTGTCCCAGCTACTGGTTCTGGTTCTGTAGCGTCTGTTAATCCTGTTGTTGAGTCTGTTTCTGCCCCTGTTGGGAGGCCACAACATCTATTGAAGGCCCAAATTAAGAAAGAAAGAATGGAAACTGGTGGGAGGAAAAAAACTGAGTTGGAATATTATTTGAGTGGGGCAATAACTGAAGATGAAGGTTCATTTGATATACTGAGATGGTGGAAGGTCAATTCTGCAAGGTTTCCTATCCTTTCTAAGATTGCTAGGGATATCTTAGCTATTCCTATCTCAACTGTTGCCTCAGAATCTGCCTTTAGTACATCTGGGAGGGTTTTAGATCCTTTTAGGAGTTCTTTAACTCCTAAAATTGTGGAAGCCTTGGTATGTACCCAGGATTGGCTTAGGCTGCCAAATACCCCCATTTCAATTGAAGAAAATCTAGAAGAATTAGAAAGATTTGAGAAAGGTAAAATAATGTATTATTTCAATCATTCAATTTAAGTTTTTTTTTCATTCAATTGAATTCTAACAAGCTTCTTCTTATTTGATTTAATTGCAGAATTTAGTGTTGATGGTGGAAGTGCATCTGGTGGGAGGACTTGTGGAACTACACTTCCAAGTATTCCTGTAATGGTCTTCTCCAATCTCTATACTTTATATGATATATTAATATCTTAATCTTGTATTCAACTATTCTACTGACTTTATATTCTGATGTGAAGGCAATGAAACTTGGTGACTTTAAGTTGCTTCCCTTGATGAGTAAGTAAGTAAAGGCTTGGTAGCTTACTAACTTGTAAGAGTAAGTAAAGTTGCTGCCTTTTGCAGTTTTGCATTACTGTAAATCTGTAATTCTGGTAATGTTATCTTTTTAGTTTTTGATATTTTTTTGCAAATTGGCAATGATGAAAGCTTCCACCAAAGATCTGAAATAAGGATTAAGCTGGTATGTTGCTCAATGTTCAATTGTTGAAGATTTGAAGCAATTTGCCCTTAATCCATACATTGATATGGACAAATATGCTTACTGAGCCAATATTATAATATCATTTTCTTATTTGCTAAGTAATATATAATTATTATTGACTTATTATTTTTTTACTTGTTTAGTTGTTTCACTTGTTTGTTTCCTTTACTAAATTGCACTAAATTTTAACAGGAAGAAGAATAGCAGTCTCGAACACTACTACACTAGGAGTATTACAGATTTACAGATTTAGACTAGGATCAAGATTCAAGAATCAGGATGGCTTTTTGTGATCAGGAATCAACAATTCAACATGGCTTTTTGTGAATTTGTAAATCTGTAATTCTGGTTTTTTGTAAAGTGTAATCTGCTAAGTTGTGAACTGTAATATGTAATTCTGGTTTTTTGTATGGCATTAAGGCATTAAGGATTTTGCTTCATTACTTGATTTACTTTTATAATTTTATTATTATTATATCAATTTTGCTTCACCCGAACACGAGTCGGATATCCGACCAACCCGACCGAACCCGAAAACTAAAGAACCCAAAAGATTTAATAAATAAAATGTTAGGACCGATTTTACAATTCCCAAACCGAAATCCGAGCGGTTTAGTCAAACCCCACCCCGAACCGAACCGAACCGTCCGATGCACACCCCTAACAGTGAATGAATAAAGTAAAAATCCCCAATGAATGAACTAAATATCTCAAATAAATGAATTAAATATCCCCAATAAATGAACTAAATATCCATAATGAATGAACTAAATATCCATAAATTAATAACTATATATCCAGAAATTCATAACTATATATCCATAAATTCATAACTATATATCAACAGTGAATGAATGAAGTAAATATCTACAATGAATGAATTAAATATCCACAATGAATGAACTAAATATCCATAAATTCATAACTATATATCTAGAAATTCATAACTATATATCCACAATAATGTTATTGTCGAGAATCGAACCTGCATTTTTTTTTTAAGTGGGACGCGCGTTTTTAGCCAAAACGACGTCGTTTTGCATCGTATGCACCATGCGCATGGTGCATTCGGTTGCACAGCATAACTATTGGGATAATACGAGGTGGGCCGGCTTAATTGCAGATTATCAGATTATGCAATCATTATTGTGTGGACCATGGTCCACACAAGTTGTATGGACCATATTTTGCATACTATAAAATAATGTACATTCAGTACAAAATAATGTATATTCAGTGCAAAAATAATGTACATTGTATTCGGAGGATGTACATTATTTTTGTACTGAGTGTACATTATATTGTATAATGTACATACGATACAAAAATAATGTACATTTAGTATATTACAAATGTACTTTTTGTTATGGTCCATATAAATGGTCCACACAATAATTTGCCCAGATTATGTACCCCTGGCAAATTATGTTGTGGAACACGGTGTCAAAATGACATCATTTTGGTAGAAAACGACGTCGTGTCAATTAAAAAAAATTATTTTCTTTTGTCGTTAGTGGCGTTTGTCTTCAGATTCGGCAGTTTCCTTCCTAAACTCTATGTTTACAATTATAGAAGTCTATGCTCATAATTACTGAACTCTATGTTCATAATTTTTGAACTCAATATTCACAATTACAGAAGTCTATGTTCATCATTTTTTTAACTCTAGAAGTCTATGTTCATAATTATAGAACTCCATATTCATAATTTTTGAACTCTAGAAGTCTATGTTCATAATTATAGAACTTCATGTTCATAATTTTTGAACTCCATATTCAGAATTATTGAACTCTATATTCACAATTACAGAACTCTGTGTTCATAACTATAGAAATCTATGTTCATAATTTTTGAACTCTATATTCATAATTCTTGATCTCTATATATATTCACAACTACAGAACTCTATATTCACAGCGTAACAATATATTCACAATTTTTTATGTTGCTAAATTTCTTTTGACAAATAAAAAAAAAAAAAACAAAAAAAAAATGATTGGTGGAGGGAAAATGGTGCCACAGAACGGCGTCGTATTCGACCCGTGTCCACCTTGCAAGGTGGATACGGGTCCATGGCATAAAAATCCAGTACCCTTCCTTTGAAGCTATAAATCCGTAATCTCAAAAAATTGAGAAAATCTCGTAATGGAGATGTTGTTATACCATGGACTAGGGTGGATCCTGGTCTTAAATTGTGTATTTTTTTTAGTATTGGATTTGTAATTTTTAGAATATAAATTGTATTTTTAAGTTTTAGAAATTTGTAAATACAATACATTGTCATCAAAAATTGTAAATCTTTAAAAAGTAAATTGTGTATTTTTAAACCCAATGTGAATCCAGGTCCACAGAATAATTTGTCATAAAGAGATGTCAAAACAGAACAATCTAATCTATAATATGTTACAAATAAATAAATAATCGACCGGGCTAATAGTTAGCTTAGTAATTCGCATGCTACACAAATTGGGCAAATTCGCCCTAAGATTTTCCATACTAAAAAATATTTCAACTCAACTCATCAAAAATATGAGAACATGCCTAACCATACAAATTGTGTGATTGACAACTTTGCCTCAGTGAAGTAGGGTCTACCAAATCTCGATGTATAATTGTCTAACTTCTTTTTACGCTATACATAATATTCTTCTAAACTCAAGTCTTATTCAAATTCTAATTGAGAGAGTATTTTTAATACGGAATAATTGTTACTCTATTCACACATACAATATTTAAAATTTAACAAGACGAAATCAAACTCATTTCATTTAAATACATATATTAATTAAATATTAGTTGTGTGCATGGGCAGTAAATTAAAACTGCGCCATTAATTGTCACCCCACTAAATGAGAAAGCCAGCCCAATAATTAGCACATCCCATTGTGTCATTGTCACATCCTAGTACTGTACAATGTTGATAATCATTAATGAACCTCTAACGACAAATTAGTGGTTGATGACCTGGTCTCCTCTTTAATAATTGCTAATTAATATTCTATATCTACTCCGTATCAATCAGTTTACTAATTCTCCAATTCATGCCCGCACTTCACCACCCATAATTAATTAAAAATATTTAATTATATATTAATGTTAAGGTTGTCACTGTTGCCATGCATGCGACGACTTCTTCGTGGCCCATACATACAGAAACAGTGTTCGTTGCTAGCTTCAACAGAATTGTGTAGGGCTTAGTATAGGGTTGGTGAATTATTTCCTTTGTCGCTAAGTGCATTAAAAACAACATTAAACGTTAACTTAGTGCATCACAATTTGATCAACTTAATGATTACGGATTAGGCAATTAAATTTAGTATCTCCCATTGGTCCAAACTTTATTCTTCCTCATGTCGGGGGTTTAGGTTTGGGATAAGAGCCATCATCATAACTATACTGAATTTTATATTTAGCCCACAATTTTTTAGGAAATTGTTATATTTTTTTTATTTTTTTTTTCTGTTGGTGAATTAGTGCATGCCTTAATCATTCTGCTTTAGAGCACAGTGTATTTTTTAAAGGTTTATTTTTAATATAATACGTAAAAATAAATAAGTAATATACTAAAATTTAATATTTTTTCGTGGTTCATCATGCAATAGGATCCTTGTCCACAATATAATTTGTCATTATACATGCCTATAATAACAATAACAGAAGTCGTTGACTAGCTTACGTGGTCAGATCAATCGTCATTAGTATGTGTTGCTTCTGGTGTCAAAGTGGAGATTCAAACCCATCATGACAATATAGATATGGACTTCCCATATTGGTATAGGGTGCGAGTTAATTAGGGTTTTTTGTGTGTAGAAATGTACAAATTGTAGATGAAACTTGACTATAGTGGAGTGCCTTAAGGGCGGGATCTTTAATTTGGGTATCAGAATTAGTCCAACGAATGTAGAACATATACATGATTTCTACCAAACAATTTATTTAAAAAAGAAAAAGAAAAAAAAAACTCGTTGGGTTTGACAGATTTCTGTTAGCTGTCTTCAAATTCCAACCTAATTGCGCAGTCCATCAACATCATACGATTAAACTATCTAATTAATTCATGCTTTTATTCCAATGTTTTTTCACCTATATGGATTATTTTATTTATTTGTTTGTTTGAGCAGGTTGAAGATAAGAATAAAGAATGTTAACGGGACAAACTAAATGTGGGAGTGCTCGATTATTTTCCTGTCCTCATCCTAATTTCAAGTACAATGATAGATTTCTCTTATCTTCAGTACCTAATGAATGAAGTTCCTTATTCTATGATTCAAAAATATATCATAAAGACCCTGAAGGATAAAGCATAATTCTCATAATAGAAAGTTATAAATCTAATTCTTATCAACATTGTCACGATGAAATTCACTGCAGAAAGTCTTTCATGTATGGTTTACATCTCCATTATACACATGAGCATCGGTGGGCAGGCATAATTGTGCAAAGCATATTTTACCATCTTATACTATTTAATTTGTTCACATGAAACATAATTTACCTAGCTAGTACTTCCTAGCTAATTTGCTTACAAGAGCGAGATATACTCGGTGCTTCCTAGCTAGAATAGAGCTTACGGAGTTTACCAGTGCTTCTTAGAATAGTGTTGCATACCTTCTATTCTAGAGCTTCCTATTGAGGTCGTCCTAGAGGACTAGCTCGACTATGTGTGTTGAACTCTCCTCCTTTCTGGATCCCTTGTTAGTCAACATTCACTCTTAGATGATTGTGCCAAAATCTTCAGACCCAGCTATGAGAGTCCTTTTCAAGATTTTTTTTAAGATACTCGCCTAGTTTAATTTTTTTTTTTTTAATTATATTATATTTTATGTTACTCTCCCTTGAATATAATATCCTTCCTCAAGTTGTACCATTATTGTCATCCTTAATTTGAGTGCACCATACGATATAAGCAACTTTAATTTGTGTAATCCCACTAGAAGCCTTGTACATATTGTCTTTAAATTAATAAAATGAAACTGAATTAGCTAGCAAGCTGCAAAAAGAGAAAAAATAAAATAAAATTGCTACATATACTTCCAATAGTGTGGAAAGGAGAGGGTCCAAACGAATAATTTGAAATTAACTGCCAGTCTGAAACTGGAGTGGCCTCCCAGGGGTCCATTTTAATCATCTCCGAAAGAGAAAAGACCTCAATAGTAGCCATGAGGATAGGACAAATCTGAGAAAAGAAGATAGCCCAACTCTTA